CCCGCTTGTTAGCAGCAAGGAAGATGGAAGGAAGTGGGAGGAATCCAGAGGGTGAGGTTTTCTAATGCCTCACTCTTCACTGCCGAACCCAGAGCTATTTATGGTGCAATTATCACCGCAGACAGACTCCTTTATCATCCAGCCAATATTCTGGGTAGAAATCCTATTGCAGCCCAGCCACTCCATACATCATCGGGGCTCAGGCGATGGCCAGGTGAAGAGGTTTGCTTGCAGGAAACATATCTGCCAGACACTGCTGGGCCCTGGCATCCCTGCTCACCCTCTATTTATGGCCAGGGAGGAGGCTGTGTCCTCCTGCCCTCCCAGCAGAGCCCAGTGCAGTGGGAGCAGGTTAGAACAGTGTAGGGTTGCTCTGCACAGTGATGCCAGTGGGAATTCCCACAGGAATTTGCTCCTGTTGGGGCATGATGGAGGGGCTTTACTAGGAGCACAAACAAAAGCAAAGGGTCTTCTGGACTAAGCATGGCTCAGGGTAGCAGTGGAGGGAGGGGGACGGCAGGGAAGTGACAGGGGGTGAGTTTTGAATCCCCTGTGGTTTCCCAGATGAGTCACGAGGGAGGGGAGTGAAGCACCTTACACCCTGGCCATGTCTCTGAGAGGAGTTCCCTGGGTGTCTGTGTGCCCCCCAGCTCTGGGGGCAGCCTCCTCACCTCCTGCCTGGCCCCATTGCCTGAGTCAGTGCTGCAAGAATCATCCCCCAGCACCCTCCTTGGGTGGGCAGCACAGCTCCACCAACTGAAATTTGCATTCCCTTTTTTCTTTTTCCTCTTCCCAGAGTTCCTTTTACTCTAGAGAGGAAACTGCACCATTCTCCTTAGTCTGAGCTGGAATCCCTCATGAAGTTTGGCTGCACTTCTCTGTGGGGCTAGAGGGTCTTGGAGCAAGCTGACACTCAGCCTGCTCCTGTGGCTGGTTTGGGACAAGACCAGAGAAGATTGAGTCATAGATGAGGCCAGTGAAGCAGGGTTTCCTCTTTAATACTCATCCTGAAAATAAAACTGTGGTGTAGATTCTCTGCTGGCTGAGCATCCCCTTCCCATTAGGAAGATGCATTTTTTTATCCATCCATTTCTCATATCACAGACCTTGCCAGGACCTCGGTATATCTGGAAGCCTCTTCCCCTGTGTCAAACGTGGGTGGTACTGGGCAGCTGCTGGTGGGAACGAGCAGGAACACACAGACTCAAGGCTGCTGAGTCACGGAGCCTGATTTTCCTGGAGAATCGGACTAAACTCCCACCCACGTCACTGTTCCCACTGCCAGGGCAGAGCTGGGATGTGCCCTGGTCTCTGCCCCACCATCTCCCCTTTATCTTTCATGGCACAGAGCTGGCAATCTATTTGTTACGGAATGAGCCTCAATACTTGCAAAGAGTGAAATTCTTGAGGCACAGGAGCTAAAATAACCATCACTCACACTGCCTGTTTACCTTCTAATTGTCACTGACTTCTGCCTTTTCACATTCATGGTGCTTGAAAAGGGAAGAATAGATCTAGGCAATATAATTTAATACACCAAACATTCCAGCTTAATTGCAATCCCCATAAGCCAGACACACAAAACTCTAAACAAATTCGATTAATTTATTTCAATTTGCACAAGTCTTCCTCTCAAACTGTAATTAATGGAGAGAAACAATTAAGGTAAACACAGCCCAGCTGAGAGAGCTGTCCTTGCTAAAAGTCACATTTTATTTTAGTAATGCTGTATTTGTAGAAGTTCCACAGTCTTAACAAGTTTCCCACTTCCTCAATATTTAATCAGTCCTGTAAATATTTTGCCTGGGCTCAAAGGGCTTTGTGAAATCAGGAATCAGCAGGGAAAGCCCAAATCACCAGTGGGCACTTGGGATGGATGTGGCTGTGGGCAGAGACTCGGGGGTTAATCCCTCCTCCAGGTGCTCCTGGGGGCTGAAAGGTGGCCCTGAATCAGGAGGTGTGGAGGGCTGGGAGGCAGCTCCTTGTTACTGTCCCAAATCCAGAGCTTCTCAGTTGCAGGTTGGTAGCAGTGCTGGTGTGAGGGAGCTAAATGGGTTTGGAAAAGCCTTTGGAAAAAAAGGCTGTCACTGTAAATCAGTTTATTAATGGAGAAAACTACCAACCATCATGCTAAGGCAGCTCCACCTGATGCATCATCCCAGATCTCCTGCTCCTGCTTGAGTCAGGGCTTGGCTTTGCACAGCTCCCACATGCAGCACAGCCAGGGAATGCCAGAGCAGCACCTCCAAAATGCCGCTGCAGAGGAGACAAAGGCTTTTGTCCAGCTGCCATTTGATCTCTGCCCTGGATCACCTTCAGCACATGCCCGAGATCACCAGCTCTGCTCTGTACAGGACAGGGGTGAATTTCACCCCCTCATGCAGCCTGGCCAGAGGAAGGGACAGCACCATCATGAGATCCCAAACACTGTCATGGTGATTTTTGGGGCTGTCCTGTGCAGGGCCAGGAGTTGGACTTGATGTTCCTCGTGGGTCCCTTCTAACTAAGGCTATTCAATGTTTCTCCAGGTGAATAGGTAGGTCCCACTCCAACTGCTTCAGCAGTGACTTTGAGTCACTTTTTTTTCATCACTTGTCATTTTCCAGCTTTGAATACATCCCGTGGGTGAGTTTCTTGAAAGAGACGGCACATCTGTCTTCATTGCTTTCCTTTGCTTTTTTTTTTTTTCTTCTGAAAAAGCAGGAACAATACAACCCATCTTTCATTGCACCAACTGGTATTGCTAAAGGGTGGAAAAAATTAGGTGCTGTTTTTTCCCTTTTTCTTCCCACCTTCATTAACTTTAACATGTACTGTGCTCCTCTTCCAGCACAAACGTAGCATTGCTAGAGAAGAAAATCTTAGCTTGAACAATCTTGTGTTGATTTTCCATTCTCTCAAGTACCGGCTGGTCTAATTAGTTTGGAAATGCACCATTTGTTAAAGAAAGAGGAGGCACAGTCTGACACCTGCTGTATTAATTATTTACTTCTTTATCTAATTGCCTGCCTATGCTGTTAGATGAGGGAAGTTGTCACCCATGTCTCGATTTGAAGATGTTGAACAGGAAGGGAGGAAATGGTGCTGTTGGGGAGGTCACATTTTGGGGTGATGGAAGTGGGACCAGTGCTAGAACTGGTTTACACCTGAACTATACCATGGCACCAAGTGCCACATCCGGTCTCTTTTTAAACACATCCAGGGATGGTGACTCCACCATCTCTACCATTCCAGCACTTTATCACTCTTTATGTGAAAAACGTTTTCCTAATATCCAGCCTATATTTCTCTTGGCTCAACTTAAGACTGTGTTCTCTGGTTCTTGTCAGTGTTGCATGGTGAAAAAGAACAACCCCACCTGACTACAGACATCTTTCAGGAGCTGTAGAGAGTGCTGAGGTCACCCCTGAGTCTCCTTTTCTCCAGGCTGAACACCCCCAGCTCCCTCAGCCGCTTCTCACAGGGCTTGTGTTCCAAGCCCTTCATCATCCCTCGTGGCCCCTCAAGGGTCTCAACGTCCTTCCCAAACTGAGGGCCCAGAACTGGACGCAGCCCTCGAGGTTTGGCCTCACCAGTGCTGAGCACAGGGAAGGATGAGCTCCCTGCTCCTGCTGGCTGCACTGTTCCTGATACAGATGATAGATACACTATTCCTCATCCAGGCCAGGAGCCATCGGGCTGGCTCACGGTCCGTGGGCTGTTGACCACCACCCCCGGGTCCTTTTCTGCCTGGGCACTGATGATGGGGAGCAGGACACCCCCAAATGTCCCAGTGCCTGCTCCAGTCCCAGGAGAGCAAACTGGCTGGAGTGGGGAAAGGAGCCTGCAGCACAGACCTGGGGTGCTGGGGGAGCTGGAGGTGGACTCAAAGTGACCTGCACAGGGCCCCAGCTCTCCTGGGCTGATGGAGAGCTCCGGGTTGGGGCCAGGACTGGAGTATGGCTGATTTTGGAGCTGATAGAGAGAAAAGCCAAGGCTCTGGCAACAGCAAATGCTGCTCATCCCTTCTGCTGTGCCTTCCTCCTCGCCCGCACTCAGCCTCTTCCTGACATCTAGTGGGAGCAGGGCAGCACGGCAAAGGGATCCTGGGCAGCTCCAGGCTCCAGGCACCCACAGCCACAGGCACTGGGCTGCCAGAGCCACCAAAGGGGCTGGCACAGCCACAGCTCACAGCTGGGCTTCAGCAGGGCACAGCTGCTCCTGCAGAGCACTGCTGGGGAGGAACTCACGGTGTAATTCCTCATGGAGGAGCTGTTATTGCCATAGCAGAGGCACTGCTCTGAGGCATGGGATCTGTTCAGGTTTATCTGCCATCTCAGAGCACTTGAGCCCTCTCCCTCGCTGCTGCAGCCCTTCCATGTTCCCAGCAAAGGTGCACAGAACAGCTGGGCAGTTCCCTTCTTGTCCTTGTTCTGGATGGCACCTTTGGGAAGCACAGGGAGGAGGACATGGGAGCCAGAGACAGGTGAGAGCTGTCCCAGCAGGACATCACATTCCATCCAGGACTACCCTCTCATTTTAGACCCTATGCACATCTCCCTGGATCAGCTCTCATCCCTAATGGCAGCTGCCAGAAGCTAACCTACTCCCAGCTCACAGCCCTCTGCCCATGGCTGCAAAGGCAGGACAGGGGCAGGTGCTGGCCACAGCATTTGGGGACATTGCCTCCAGGATCATCCCACGCTGGCCAGCATTTCTGCTGGGCTCGTCTCCCATCCCATCCTTCCCCACAGCCTTTGGCTGCAATGACAGGCAGATTGGTCAGCTCATTCCTCAGTCCTCATAGCTCATTCCTCCTGCATTGTTTCACACACATTCTGCAAGCAAAACCACTTTTTTATTTCCCCTTGTTGCCATTGCTTTTGCTGGACCGTGGTCACTGGGCCTACCTTGCTGTCTGAAGACCAGGGTGTCACCTCTCCACGTGTCCCCAAATCTCCCTGGGGATGCCCAAGCACTTTTATTAATGAGCAGCTTAAACACCAGCAACAAAACAGCAATAACAACAACAAATGTCTTTATTTCAATGACCTGAAAGAAAATGTAATTCCAAGAGCAAAGACAGTAATAAAAACCACAAAGGTGCTCCAAGCAAACTGGAGCGATTTGCACTGATCCCTTCCCAAAGCAGCCAGGCAGAGGTGGCTCTGGTCCCTGGCTCCTCCCCAGTGTGACAGAGCCACACTTCTCCCTGCATCACCCCCCTGCCACAGGGACCTCCCAACCCTGGGGAAACGGCAGCTGGGGGGGCAGGTGAGTGGCTTGGGGTGGGGATGGCACAGGGTGAGCCCACACTGAGCCTGGGGAAAAGAAAGGCACTTCCCAAACTTCAGTGTCATCCTGCCACCTGCCCTGGGACTGCAAAGCATCCCTTCATCACCCACCCCAGCCCTTGCCAGTCTGACATCCCAGGGATACGGCTCCTTGGGAGTCCTGGTGCTCCTGGGCCAGCACCACGGCTCAAAGGTAGAGGAGCAAATCCAGCTCTGAGCTGTCCTCAGCTGCCCTGTGCTCACAGAGGTTCCTGGGGAGCCCTCTGCTCCTGGCTGCTGCTCCAGGGAGGCACTTTGATGGAGAGGAGGGACAGGGACTTCTCACTCCTGGAGACAGAAGGACAGGGAAAGGTGGTGGCCCTGAGCAGGGAACTCTCTGGAGCTATGCCCACCCAGGCTCACACCTGCAGTAAGGATAAGTGCCCTGATTTTCTCTCCCACACACACATCCAACAGCTGAGGGGGTGTGCTGCCTTTGAGAAATGCAGGGATAAAATTCCAGAAGCAATGTTAATCCAACAACTAAGTGGATGTCACTCCTACAATTGAACCCAAAGCCACTGAAATTATGGATGAAAGACAAAAGTCCCAGATCTTCAGGATTTCTCCTGGTCTGTCTAGAGAGTCTTTGCCTTGTGTCTAGAAACAAGCAGCAGCCAAGCACTTGCTCCCCTGACATGTGGCTCATGGCCTGGGTCACTGATTCTACCCCCACCCTGCCTCTCCAGAGATTTGGATCCCTTTGACTTCTCTGTGCTCTTTTGGGGGATCCTGAACTATTCTGGGTCCCAAGTGCAAGGGTCCAGCCTCGGCTGAGATCCTGATTTTCCCCTGAGGAGGCAGAAAGTTCACAAGAAATACAGAACAGGGGAAAATTTCATTAGTGAAGGAGCAGAAAGTCTCACAACAAAACTTCCAGACTTAACTCCCTTGTGCTATCAGCTCCTCCCAGCCCCCAGACCAACCCTGTAACCTGAACCCAGCCAGGGTCGGGAACAGCAGCCTTTGGGGAGGGGAAAAGCACCAAAGCTGACAGAATCCCCCCTCCCAGGGCACTTCACAGCATTGGAGCTGGCAGTGAGGGGAGTGGCTGGCAGGGTCCCAGGGAAGGGTCTGGCAAGCACAGCACCGAGCAGGGCAGTGGGAAGGGGGTGTCTGGACCTGAGAGCTTTCAAAGAAAACCATCTCCTCACCATGTGGCCATGGAGGTGGTTGGGAGCAAGGCCATGAGTTTCAGATTGTTTAATTTAACCTGTCTTCTTGTTCAAACACAAGCTGAGTCAAAGCTGGCAGCAGTGGCAGAGCCGTCAGCTCCCAAGGCTGGGGAAAGCCTTTGGAACTTTGCTTCCCAGTGCCACCTCTAAATTTCCTGTGTGAATCAGGATCATCTACCAAACCCAATAAGCTGTCCTTCAAAGTGGAAAACCAAAACCGAGGCAATCCCTGCCCTCAGTCCTCTCCCTAAGGAGAATCCTCCTCAGTGCAGAAGCTGCTCAGCGAGCGATCCTGGCTCTGGAGACACAACCCAGCTGTGCAGCCCAGAATCCCTCCGAGGGATCCAGTATCCCTCTGGTGGCACAGCAGTGGCACCGAGCAGCTCCCGGGGTGGCACGGACGGCACAGTGTCGCTGCGGGCGCAGCTGGGCAGAGCGCGCCCAGCTCATCGCCCAGGTCACTTTTTTGGGGGATGCACGGGGGGCTCAAACCACACGCAGACCGTGGAGGAGCACACAGAGAATGGCGAGGGTGGAGTGGGTCGCAGGGAGGGCAGGGCTGGCTCAGACACGGCCCCGGGGGCTGCGCTGGGGCAGGAGGTGGCGGGGTGGGGGCTGCTGCAGCAGGGCCGTGAGGATGCGCTGCAGCTGCGACAGGCGGGCGCGCAGAGAGGTGCAGGAGAACAGGTTCAGCTGGTAGGATGGGTCCAGGGGCAGGATGGAGATGAGCCACCAGCACCACGTCGGGCCGTCTGCCGAAGCCTGGAGAGGAGAGAGGGAGAGACCCCCACGTCAGGAGCGGCGAGGGGGATGCAGGGGTGGCCTTCAGCAGCATCACTGATGGCAAACAGTTGTTCTTGTCAGGACAGCAACACCAGCTTTGGCCAAGGTACTCATCTGAACAGCCCTTTTGCTGTCCAAGCTCAAAACTACTGGACAAACTAATTCAATTTCCAGACAAGTATTCCCCAAGGAGCCTCCAGATGCAGATGTAGCTGGTAAAAAGTCTGTACTAAAGAGACAATGACATATCTTGTGCATTTCTTTGTTTAATCCGGTGCTTTTTGCAAACACAGGCCAAATCCTGCATGGCCAATGTTTTTGGGACATTGGCCATCACATCAAGAGGTGAGGTGCAGGCCAGGCAGACACAGCTGTTGGGCACTGCTGTTGTAAAGTGGCTTTTCTATAACCTGAGCCAAACTAAGAGGGAAAAGCTCGATTCAGCTGAAGGAGGGTGAGTTGTTTTGTAATTCCTGAGCACATCATTAACCTGACTGCTGGCCAGGACAGCCTTAGCCTGGGACAAGCCAGCAAGAGTATATTTGTAACGATCCAGAGAGGAAATTCTTTCTTAAAGGAGTGAAAATTAAATTTTGGGATTTTTTTTTTTTTCCTTCAGAATCTAAATTTGTCAGAGCAGTATAATAAGCAAATTGGATCCTGTCCTCTTAGCTCCTTACCTCTGGCCAGCTATGACTGTCTCAAAGGATCACAGTGAGAAAGGGGACTGCAGGCTCAACAAGCTGCAGGATTCATCTCTTTGCCAATTTGTTTGATTTCTTTTTCCTGAAGTGTTTTCAAACACACACAGTTCAGTTTCTCAGTTCTCATTTAGAAAAATACTCTAGGAAAGATTTTTAGAACTCAGTGCTCAGTTTCCAAGAACAGTTTAAAACCATAAAGAAACATCAAGCAGTTTTGCAAAACAAGCCCTACTAACTCTCTGAATGAGAGATGCAGTAATAGGGGTGAAAAACTGGATTTTTTTTGTTCATCCTGCCGAGTAGGGAAGCAGGGTGGTTAGTGCAGGAACAGCACTGCTTCAGAGGCTCTCTTGGTACTCTGTTTGGTGCATCCCTTCCCTCTGGGCATTACCTGGATGTCCTCTTCCTTCTCTGGCAGTGGTCCATGCTGCATCAGAATGTGCCTGGAGGTGAGGTCTCCGTGCTCGCAGAACCGCTGGGCCAGGCGATAGGTGCTCTCGTGCAGGCACTGCAGCTCCTGCAGCTCCTCCCCGGACACCTGAACCAGGCAAGAGGGACAAAGGTGTCTGTGGGGATCTGTCCCACTGCAGCCCAGGATTTTGCCCAGCCCTGCCCTCACCTTCTTGTCCTCCAGGTACTCGATGTCAGCAGTGTGGTAGCCGTCCCTGTGCCCGCGGCTCAGCACCCGGAACCGCTGCCGGCCGATGGTGTCCACCAGGGACCTCCCGTCGGCCAGCAGCTCCACCTGACGGATCTCCAGCATGCAGCCGTAGTCAGCAAAGCTGCAGGGACACAGGCACAGAGAACAGGGGCTGAGCTGGGGTAATGGGTGGTAAGAGAACTGCTTCTCCTAAAGGTACCATCTGCAAAGCAGGAAAAGGCCCAGGAACAAGATGTCAGGGCAGGGGTAAATTCAAACATTCAATCAAGTCTCCTCCCAGTGCTCACTAAGAGGAGCTGAAGGTCACAGCCAGAGAACCATGGAGCTCAGAGACATCCTGAGTCAGAAGCTGTTCAAAGAATTGTACTGAATTGTATTTGACAGCTACCACTGGCTCTGTCCAGCTCCAGTGCTGGCCTCATTCCTCAATCCCATTTCACCCTGCACTGTGGGGAACACACCACCTCCCTGCTGATTTTATCTGCGAGACGGCACTGATAGGAAATCTTTCAGAACTACTCAGTATCTCAGACATTCGGGGCTGGAGAAGAGAGAGGCAAATCAGCTGGGGCAGGGGGAAGCATGGCCAGGAGCTCACCTTTTCCCGTTCTCATATGTGCACATGCCAAACCTCCTGGTGCCGCTCTCCTGGCACCGCCGGATCATCAGGCGGTACCGAGGCTCAAAGACGTGCAGAGGGCAGGGGATGCCAGGGAAGGACATTGTGCACACAAAGATGGGGATGTTCTTGGTCAGGCTGAGGGACAGAAGGAGAAACCACTGTGACACCTCCCCAAGCAAATCCCATCCCAATGACTCTGCATCAGCTGCACCCCCAAACCAGGTGTGTCCTTAACCACACAAGAAGTGATGCTCCAGCACAGAGCAACACTAAAGCTCCCACTTGGCTCACCAAGAGACCAAGGACAGATTCTGCCCAAAAAACAACTCCTTGCAAAGATGGTCCCTCACCCCCAGGTGCCTCATGGGGCATGTCCACACCCACCCACACAGTACAGCTGCAACGTGGTCCTGGAGGTGGGACAGACATCACTTGAGCAGAACCAAGCCACAGCAATGGTATGGGGCATGGAGAGCCCTATCAGAGCCCCTTCCAGTCCCCATGTGCACCCCCACACACATGGAAGCAGTCCCTGCTTACTTGGAGAGCTCTGCCATCTCCGCCCGGTGCAGCTCCCGGCGCTCAGCCAGCTGTGTGGGGAAGGTGGCCAGCATGATGTCCTGCAGCAGCACTGTGGGGCTGTACCTCCCGGCCTTCAGGTACTGAAAGGAATTAGACCCAAAAATAGGTTGGAGAAGAGCAGGGAGGAAGCCCTGAGGCCCTGCTGGACCCTGAATCACACTCACTTTTATTGGAACTGAAGATAATTTTAGACCAGAGAAAGTCAAGGATAAAACCTATCAGGGGATGTTGAGCCATTGAGCAGGATGGGATGTCAGCTCCACTGAGACCTCCAGACACAGCTCTGAGCCAGGGCCCGTCCAACACAGCGTCCTGTCTCTGACAGTGATGCAGTCCTTGTATGACAACCTAATTTCCCTGATGGCCTCATCCGAATCCCTTTTCATTAAAGATTAAATCAAATCTCCAGACTAACAGGTTTTCCATCCATTTCCATTTTTTAAAGTCATTAGCATTTTCTTCTCTCTCTCTCTCTCTCCTCTCCTGTTTACAATCTCACTAAATCACTGTGGCATCTCATGGAAATGAATCTCTTGGTCTTAATTATCAACTGTCTGGTCATTCCCATGTGAGTGGAGCTGACACCGCCATGCCAGGGAGCTGCTCAAGAGCACTGCACCTTCCCACCCAGCCCTGGGCACAGGCCAGCAGCTGGAGCTGGTTCCCGTGGCACTCGTGCCCTCACCTCTCTCAGGCTCTGTTTGCAGAGGGGGCAGTTGGGCCGGTGGTCCAGGCAGCGTTCCAGGCACTCCTTGCAGAAGGTGTGGCCACAGGGCGTCGTCACCGGCTCGAAGAACATCCTGCAGAGGATGATCAGAGTCAGTGGATTGCAGGGAGCAACAAAGGGAAAGGAGCACAGATAAGTCTGGCAGAGAGAGACTTTAATTAGCCCTTTAATTAGGAAGTCTGGGCTCAGACTGCTGAGCTTGCACAACGATGTAAAATGAGAACTGTTCCAGGCCTGACCTCTGCTCCCTCCCCCTCTCTGCAGGGTCTCCAAGGAGTCCCAGCAGACCCCATCAGTACACACATATCACCCCTTGATCCTGCCAGGTCTGTGGTTCCCCAGACACCCACAGTGGTGTGTAATCCAAAGGGCAGTGACAGGAAACTTCCTCCTGCTCCCCTGCTCCAGGAGCAGAGCCAGCAGCAAGTACTCAAGATGCTCACAGGTAGCTCCAGGATCAGACATTAAATTAAGGTCTCAAGAAAGCCCTGACTCCTCCTAAACACTGTTTTTGTCTTTCAGAAGAGACCCAAATTCACATAATTCAGATCAGATGCAGCCTCAAATCTCTCTCCCCCATGCACAGAGCTGGAAAAAGCTGCCATGCAGGACCTTGACCAACCTGCACGTCTGGCAGTGCAACACCCACGCAGCTCTCTGCCAGCAGCCGCTTGCACAACTGCTCCACGTCCTGGGACACACCAGGAGTACCAGCCTGGCTTCAGCATGCCCTGTGGCAGTGCAACACCAGTCCCTCCCCAGCTCTGAGCCAGCAGACAAACACAGGCTCTATCCCGTTCCCTTTTCCACCTGCACCAGACAAAGAGCTCTGAAATGCTCCCTTCTAGGTCTGCAATATCCCCAGCATGGAGGGAATTTCCCTGGGCAACACCTTCCTGTTCCAGCCTGCAGGTACAAAGGGCAACCACTGCTTTTGGTCTTTGACCCCACTGAACATCCCCACCTCCACATCTCTGTCCCAAGGGATGCTGCACCCCCTGACAGGGTGATCTGAGCTCCTGCAGCCTGGCAGGGCTCCCATGGCCCTGCCTTCCCCTCTTATCTGTACCAAAACCTACATCTCAGCAGTTCTCAGGACTGAGCTTGCTATTAAGATGTGAAGAAAGATGCACATGAGTAAAGAAAACCCAGCAGGTGCCAATTCTTCATCCTAAAAGCTCTCCTGCAGGAGAACCCACCGTATGCAGAGGGAGCACTCCAAGTCAGATACGCTCAGTGACTCTCCAAGGCATGGTTGGGTACACTTTGCTGCTGCTGTTTCCTCCTTGTTATCTAGTGGTAAAAGAGAAGACAATCACCCATTTAAATACAGGAAATTAAATTTTGCTTTCTGACCTCGTACTGAGGCATAACTGCCCCACAAAAGTGCTTTGAAAGGGTCAAAGAAAAACAAAACCACTAGGAAATGCAACATAAACCCCTCTATTACCCTTCTGTGTTCATCCATAGCTGGTGTGTCAGTGGGTCTCATGGTACTTTGCAGAGGAAGGTGGTATCTCCTCTTTTTGCAGGCAGAGAAATTGAGGCACTGGGCAGCGAACTGGGCCAAAAAGCTCCAGGATGGAAATCCCTGGAGACCTGACATGAGCCAACACTGCTTTATGCAAACCAGGTAGGTGGCAGCCACCTGGCTGGACACTGATGGCAAATTAATGCTGGTGGCAGTGCTGCTTCCCCAGCTCATGGCATGTCCTGTCCCCCACATGGAAATTTAATGTAAACCAAAACCCATCTGAACACATGAGAACCAAAGAAAGCCTCTCCTGACTCCACACAGGGAACAAGTGATGGCTGGCTTTAGCAAGACCTTGTCACCAAGCTGCAGGCAAAGGTTTGCTGTAAGTTCACCTGCTCACACAGGAGGATCAGGTAGATCCTCCCCACGTGCATGAGAAGCAGCAAATGCCCTGGCCAGAGCTGCCCCATCATATGCCCCTGAGATATGTTTGCTGAGCTGGACACAGTGCAAACACCACATTTTCAGTGCCAAAATGGATTTCAAACAAGTATTTTGCAGGACACAAGGTTGTGGTACCTCTGATGACACTCACCCAACAAGCCCTGGCCCTGAGTCTCTGCTGAAGTCTCCGGTTCTGGCTGTTGTCCTGGCTGGGAAAGGACGGCTGTGTCCTGCCTGTGCTCAGACCCAGCACCCCCTCGGCCATCTGCCAGCTCTCCCTCCTGATCCTAGGCACAGCAAGATGAAATTAGGCCCAAACCCTCTTCTCCCTCTGAATGCACAGCCCCATCTGTCCCACCAAGCCCGATGGCACCGGGAGGTTTTCGGCTGTGTCGCTGCACATTAACATCTTGCATCTGCAGGACAGCAGGAGAGTGGCCCTCAGACATTGCTGCCCATCACATGGTTAAAACATGGGTTCACTCTGACCACACATGCCAACTGCTGTTTGGGTGTATCTGAGCCCATCTTCTGAATTCCCTCCTCTCTCCAAGCCTGCTAAATTTGTTTTTAGAAGGCAAAGAGGAACATAAAAACTTCCTCAATGGCTACTAATGGTCTGAACTATTCTCAAATGTGTCTTTTAGATTAAAAAAAATTGAAACTCACTTTATGTTTTCCTTTTTTTTTTTTTCCCTGAATGTAGTGAGATGAATAGAGAAAGTCTCCTCTGTTTCCCAAGTCCCCACAGCATCAGCCCTGCTGACACTGCTCTCCCACCCTCCACCAGCTGCAGATTCTCATCCCAGCACACAGCCAGGTAAGCATGGCTACATGTCCTGCACAGCCTCCCTTTATCACACCTCTCTTCCCATCACTGGGCACCTGGGATGTCCCAGAAGGACACAACGTCTCCCTGCACACTCAGATATTGCAGGCTCTTACCTGAGCTTGTGTGGAAGATGGGAGCACTGGGCTCCCTCCATCAGCCTGGGAAGCAGCTGAGCTCAGGTGAGCATCACCCAGGTGTGCAGCCATGCATGGCTGAGGAGCATCAGCTTCCATGATGATCTGCAAGGACAAAGCAAGGGTTGGGGGATGCCAGGAGGAAAAAGCAAGGAGGTGGGTGGCTGCCAGGCTCCCTCTTTTTCCCCAAAGCACCCTTCTGCTCACTGCAGGAGCTGTCTATGCTGGCTGAGCACACTGTAGAGTGCCTCAGAGGACAAGGACACCTCCCTGTGTGATGTGAGAGCACAGGAACATGGCAGAGCCTACACACCTTCTCCATCTCTCTCCGGGCCTGCTGGAAATGGGGACTGAGTGTCAGGCAGTGCTCCCACGCCAGCAGGGCTTCAGCTCTCCGCCCCATCTCCAGGAGCACCTTCCCTTTCCTGAAGAAGGCCTGCAGAGCAGAAAATGCACATGGTGACTATGACACAGTGACCAGCTGAGCATGTGCCCCTTCAGCTCCTATGCCAGCCCCAAGGGAATGTCCCTTTGCCCCCTGCCTGCTCCCATCCCAAGCCAAAGCACCTGGACATGTTGCTGCTCCCCTGATGAGATCTGCCTAAAGAAAACCAGCACTCTCCAAAGTGCAGCAGCTGCAAAAGCCAAGCCTAGGGAGAGTTGGATGAGGAGTGGAGGATAGACACAGTGCCACACCTCTCCTGTCAGAGCAGCACAGCACCTGCCACCTTGATTAGCAGCCCAATGGGTCTGCAAAGTGCATTTCTGAGCAGGATTAATCTAATGGAGAATTGAGGAGAGGGGGAAGCTGCTCCTGTGCAGTCAGGTTTGGATCCAGCCCATGTGGCGCTCACTCACCTCGTGCTCTCCAGGCTCAGCCCTGCACACAGCATCCAGGTCCTCCAGTGCCTGTGGGTACTGCCCCAGGGCCACCAAGGCCTCTGCCCGGCACAGCCGCAGGGAGCTGCAGTCCAGGGCTGCAAAGAGAAACGTGACATCAGCCCTGGTGGGCCAGGGGGCTGGATGAGCCCGTGGAGAGGCCATCACAGTGGGACAGTCCCTGTGCCACTGCCTCAGGAAGAGCACAGAGCTCTTCACTGGGAGACACTGGCTCTGTAAGCCTCTGCAAGGAAGTTATTTCCCCTAAATACCCAGTTTTAAATTATTTAAGGCTCTTCCCTTTGTTTTTTCCCCCTAAATAGCCTCAGCCAAGAGGTCCAACCACTGCCCCAGGGCTCAGCCACGCTGGGATCTGGGCTTTCATCCATCTTTTTGGGATGTATCGAGAAAAGCTCTACCCTACACATAGAGGGTTGTGGCCAGAGCAGGCTCTGTGATGTGACTCACCCAGCAGGGTCACAATAACATGTTACCAAACAGGACTGCACTGCTGGATACCTGAATTCCCAGACCCACCTGGCTGTCACTGCTCTCCTGGGGCAGATGAGAAGCCAAAGGGGTGTAAGAATCTGCCTGCAGCACATGACCTGGGGATCCCAAGTATGAGGAAAGGCTGAGATTTCCCAAAAATGAAGAAGAGAACTGAAGATCCAGTTCCTTGTCAGCAAGATGTCACTGATGGGACGTTAGGGTGTTGGGGGGGCACAGGTCCCATGGACATTGCAGGTCATGACACCAAGCACTACATGCTCCTGCCTTTTACAAAAAACAGGCAGTGAGATAATTTTCTTTCCTGCCTCAGAAAAGCACATAAAGACCTTCCTTCCTCTCAGCACTGCCAGTGGCAGAATTGGGTTGGGGGATGTTGGGGAGAGCAAGGAAGCAGCACCCCAGGAGCCCACACTCATGGAGTAACCAGGTGTGGTAATGTTTGTGGGTTTGAAATGCAGAGATGCCCAGACCCACCCCGTTATATCACAGCTCGTGGAGGTGACCTACATCTAGTGCGGTGCTGGTGTTCAGCTCAGGTAACAGGTCTGTGCATCCAGCCCTGCATCCCCCATCTCTGAGCATCAGCTCAAAGCTGCTGAGGGTTGGGGCTGGGCACTTGTTGCTTCCTGGTCCATTTGGGGAGGTCTTAATGAAGGTCATGCAGGTCCCCCCACTGGCTCCCAGTTCCCTGTGGGATGATGGTAGGTCCAGCACAGGTAACTTGTGATGGCCTGCAGGATGCTGGCACTGGGGCCAGCCTCATATCATAAATTAGGCACCACTTGCAGGCACTGCTGCTGCATTTACTGTGGCAAATGTGGCCTGGGCAACACCACCTTGCTGAAGGGCCAGGAGCTCTCTCAGGGGCAAGCTGTGTCCCTGGGCCTGGCTGGCAGATGATCAGTAATCATCAGGAAACATCACTGTTGATGATGTCTCTCCTGCACTTCCAAACCCAGCAGCACTTCCTCCTGGCCCGGTTCAATCACAGTGCTGAGGCAGCTCTGCCAGCAAACTGCAGGTCAGGACTGGCAGCTCCATGACAGCCAAGTGCAGGAAGCATCTGCCCATTTCCCTGCTGTCACCCTGCCCAGGCACCCACCACTTCTTACCACAGAGGAGCAAACTCTGCCATGGCTATTGCCTCTTCGTCCCCATGCCCAGGATGGAGCACAGCGACCTTTGCTCCCTGCCTAACCCAGAGAGCAGCAGAGCCAGGCACAGCCACTCCTGCACCAAAAGCTGCACTGGCCATGTCGGGCTGTGCAGCAGAGCATGGTCCCTGGGAGCTTGTTTTCCTTTGCAATATTAGCCAACACTTTTCCTCAAGTGAGGAAACATGGGAACTTGCTGCTCAGTACCCCATCCCACAAGCACCCATTCAGAGATGGAATATCCCAGCCCCTGACAACGGGTAGGGATGAAGAAATAGGTACAAAGTCTAGAGGGTTATGTTCCATGTGGGCAAACCCATTCAAACATTTGCACAGCCCAGCAATAAAGCGACTGATTTGGCAAAAAAAAAAAAAAATAAAATAAACCACCCCAGATGTGTAAAACAGGGCAATGAATTCTGCATTTCTCTGCTGCTGCAGCTATTTTTGATCTGTGATATCATTACACACCGGGGCCATCAGCCAGCTGGCAGCCTCAGACTCACCAGCCTCCACGCTCCAGGCATGTCAGAGGCCTCCTGTGCTACACATTACACTGCATTTTTCTGTTGTTCACTCAGAAAGAATGAAGATTAAAAGTTCACAGTTTATTTCCATCCAAGCAAATCGAGCTGCTCTATAGACTGGGCTGAGCAGGGCACTGCAAAGTGACCCATCACAGCGCACTGAACCACAAATAAAACATGCCCATGGGTCAAACATTTATCGGTGGTTCTGTTTCAAAGTGAAAGGCAGCCCGTAAAAAAGCTGAAAGCTGGCTGCAGGAGTTGGAAAACACATCCTGAAAGCACCACCCACGTGGCTGAGCCTGGCAGCCCCAGCAAGAGCAGGTTCACTGGAGCTGAGGCTGTGACTGCAATTTCCTCGTTGCCCTCAGCCAGACTTTTCCTGTCTTTCGGGGAACAGAACGTGCGGGGAAGAGTGGGGACAGAGTTTGCAATGTTTCCTCTTTATGCTAGCAAAGGATTTTTAAAGAAAAGTGTAATTGTACACCCCAACCAGGCAAAAGCCTGGCAAATGAGTACTAGAGGAGTGTGCTTGTGCCTTTCCTCTGCAGGAGGGTGTACAGGGAGAGACGGATGCCTCTGGAGGTTGCATAAAAGGACCTGTTCTCTGCTGCCCACACCAGGATCGACCGGTCCGCTTAGCCATTCGTTTCCAGGCTTACCCTGCACCCCTGGCACTTGTCTCGCAGCAGGCGATGAATAAGAGCCTTCGCTGCGGGAGGAGAGCTCAATGCTGTCATAGAAACGCGGCGGAGAAAGGAAATTCTGCCTCCGTCGCCCCAGCCCCCTGCTCCAGACGCATTGTATAACCCCTTTTATTTACTTTCCAAGAAATCCACTTACAGCCACACATTAAAGCAGATCAAACCTCCCCGCCCCGGACCAGATCTTGGCCCAGCAGGCAAATGTCTGTCCAGAGCTGGCTGCAGCAGGGGCCGGGCTGGGCGCTGACCTGCACGATGGGGCTGGCACAGGAGCTCTGCCAAGGCTGTGTCCTCGCCAGGCTCTGGGGGAGAGGACGCGTCCATCCCCGACTGGACAAGTCCCAACCACTTTACGTAATGGTCACCCCCTGGGCAGAGCTCTTTCTCTGACCCTGAAATACTGCCGGGCTGCAAGATGTGAGTATCTGCTCTGACCCCTCCACAAGGACGTGGCCGATGGGACACAGGCAGGGGACGAGCACCGAGGTTGTTCGGGCATTCCACCGCTCCCAGCACCTCGGGACATCCACGGATATGGAAGAATTCAGCCCTTCCCATCCCCATCCCCACCAGCCCTGCCTTACAACACTTCCAGATTCCCACGTCTTCCAGCTCTGGACCGTGCAGAGCTGCAGGGACACGCTGACCTACATTGTTACCCACACCGGTACTCGCCGGCTGTAAAGCCCAGCCCGCGCATCCCCATCTCTCGGGCTGCTGGGCTGCCCCTCGCACCCGCAGCCACCATCCGCACTGCCAGCCCCCGAGCCCGGTGTCCTTACCCAGCTCGACCCCTCTCTGCGCCATCCGCAGCGCCTCCCGCGCGTCCCCGCGGGCGAGGCGGTCCCGGAGGCGCTCGGCCAGCCCGGCCAGCCGCCGCTCCCGCGGCACGCAGCGCTCCAGCACCCCGCACAGCACCACGCTGCACCGCGCCGCCCCGCTGCCCGGCAGCTCCAGCCGCTCCTGGCACAGCGGGCAGCGGGACCCGCCGAGGCACGGCTTGCAGAAGGAGTGACCGCAGGACGCGGTCACCGGCTCCCAGAGGAGCAGGCGGCAGCAGGGGCAGCGCAGCAGGTCCGGCCCGAGGGGCGGCCCGGGCGGAGAGGAGCTGGGGCTGGAGGGGCCGCTCATGGCGGCGGGCGGGGGAGCTGTCCCTAAAGCCGGCGCTGCCCGCGCATCGCCCCGCTCCGCCCCGGCCGGCCCGGCGGAGGCTGCGGCTGCCGGCCCGGCCCGGCCCGGCCCGCCGGAGGGACCCGGGGCAGGCGCCGGTGGCGGGGCTGCCCGGGCCACCATTGGCCGCCGCCGCCCGGCCGCCCCGCCCCGGCCGCGTTTCGTAACGGAGCCCGCGGTACCGGGGGCGCCGCGGGGCAGGGGCGGGGGACCGGCGGGGCTCGGTGCGCGGGTGGTGCCGACCCCCCGAGCCGGGGGGCTGGGGGGCTCCGCTGCCGATTCCCGGGAGGCGGCGGTGCTGGGGGGCTCCGGAGCAGCCGGGGCGCGGGTACGAGCCGGACACCGGCTCTGGAGCCGTGAGCCGGGCGGGGAGAGCTCCGCACCAGATGGGCACGGGCGCCCAGGGGGTCTGGGGCACCCCGAAGCAGGACCGAGGTGCAGAGCGCTGGGAGTGTTTCGGGGTGCCCCAGAGCGGGGCCAGGGCAATTTGGAGCCAGCCTGGGGTATCCGAGATGCTGTGGAGCAGGGCTGGGGCACAAGTCCTGTGGGGTGCTCTGTGATGGGGCAGAAGGGTGGGATGCTGCAGAGTGGCTGGCACAGGATACGTGCGGTCCCTCAGCTGTCTGAGGCTCTCCAGAGTGGGAGGGGGGTGCCGGCTGTTGCGGTGCTCCAGAGCAGGGCAGGCTGCTGAGGCTGGGTTACACCCGATGCCTCTTTGCATTACCCTCCATGGAAACTCATCACGTTTGGGTGCAAAGGGGCACTCCTCCATCGTACACGTGAAACTGCTTCTCCCTCAGATGCTCTCCTTACCCAGAACTGGATGAATTCAGACCCTGTGTGTGGATAATCCCCTTCCCACTCACAGACCCCCAGGATGGGCTCGGTGTCACAAGGGAGATGCATCCCCTCACCACACACTCAGACAGCAAAAAGACAGCAGCTCCTGCACAGCAGGTGCTGAGAAAAACAGCTGAAATCTGTCACTTCTGGAGCTTAGTAGATCAGAATTTATATAAGGATGATACACATTCCCCAAGGGCTCGTTTGTGTGTCCCCAAAAACAACCCAAACCCACGCACACACTGGCAGGGCTGCTCAGGGAGGGAGATCACCAGTGGGATGTCAGTGCTGGTGAAACCCATGCCCCACTGAGGGAGTGGCTGGCGGGGGTTTGGGCTGTGGAGCAGGTTTTGTTTCCAAATCTATTGCAATCACATTAAATGGCTCGTAAGTGGTTTTAAAAGCTCAACAACTAAGCATTTGAAATGGGTTTGATAGGCTTCATTGCTTTCTCCGTTATCTTTTTGAGTGATCCCTCCAGACTGGAGAAATCTCAGGTGACATTTGGTAACACTGCCCTGAAAAGCTGAGCATGGCATTAGGGTCAGTGGTCACCCTGGGAGCATTGGAGTCTGTCTGGGACTCTGCCCAGCAGGGGACATTTTCCATGTCCCCATCTGCAGGGTCAACCTTTAGCTCTCCCCTTCCCCCTGCCTCAGAGGACCTTGCACATCCCTTCCCCCGGCAGTTCTCCCATGGGCATTCCTCAGGTGGCCAAAGCTCATTCACACCAAACACTCTCCTTTCCTGGTTTGGTTCTCACCGTGGCTCATTTTTCCACCAAAACCTGGCTATTGACTAAAAAAAAGATTGCCACCAGGAGGGTTTCACCCTCAAAAAGGGCACGTTCCTGCCTCGTGAGCCATGAAATTAGGGTGATTTTAGCTACCACAGCCAACATTGCAGCAAAGTGTACAATAACCTGTTTGTGTGGCTCAGCCTGGGAGCAGCAGCCCTTTGCCAGGGGCAGCTGCTCTCAGGTGAGGAGCACAGCATCTTTCATCACCCCAGCCAGTTCCTGTGGGAGACACCAGGCTGTTCACCTGGGGCCTGCCTCATTCTTTCCCTCACCTCCTGATTCACTCCACAACCATGTGTGGGCTCTCCAGCGCCTCACAAGCAGAGCAGAAGTGCTGCTGCTTTGCATAATACAGTTTAAAATCATTCAACCACAACACACGAAGCCATAGCAAACCAGGCTTCATTAGCACCAGTGTGCAAGAACATTTTGTTTTCTTCAATCTGTCCAGAGCTGAGCTGGTTCAGAATTCTGAATGCTTTCTCTTGTCACTGCCCTGTTTGTGCTGACTCACTACATAACTGAAAAAGGAAAAAAAAAAAAAGCTTTAAATGCTTAGTGCTAACCATTCAGCTGGCCAGATGAGAACTTCACATGTTGCATAACACAGGACAGATCACATTGTATGTAGGAACTATTTGCAAAGCATAACTGGATTTTTTTTTTTTTTTCACTTTAGATGTGGGAAGTATCCCAGGGTCAGTGCAGGATGGGGAGTTCCAGGTGCTGCTGCAGCTCCTCCTCTGGCTCCCAGCCACATGTCCGCTTGTGCTCCAGCTCCAGCACAGCCTCATTAATGTGGTCCAGACTGCTGACAGCCCAGCATTGGGATCAGGGATTGCATGCCAGCTGTGTTTGCTCATTTTTAGTGCATAAATATTTGTTGCAAGCATTGACATTTGTTTTTGACACATTAGGGTTTAAGGAATGGCTCTGAGGTGACAGCACCTTCCCAGTGTTGCCTTTTTTTTGTTCAGAGAGTTGGCCTGCGTGCTCCTGAGGGTGTCTTCAAAGGCACCACAAGCACTTGTAAACAGGAACACGCACCCTGAATGTCATGACCCCTTTTCCACACTGCTATCCCTGCTCTATCCACCAGCTTCCTCCAGCACCATCAGACCTGAAAGTCCTGTTGCACAGAGGTGAAACAAGTTCTGCCATTTCTAAACCCACACAAGGAGGAAAGCATCAGAATCCCAGCCAAGGAGGGGGAGTGTTGCTATCAACAAGGGCCAACACTGGGCTCACAGTGGCATGTCCAAGTGCCAGGCAGCCTGCTGGGTCATCCAGCAAAGAGCCTCAGCACCTGTGCAGGCACACTTGTGCCCCAGCAGTGCTGCACCTGGATCCTGGCTGTCTGCAAGCCTTGAGAGTTGGCCTAAGGAATTATTTTTACTCCTCAGTACGTGCCTGTAACATGCAGGGAGTTATTTGCATCATCCCCCCCTTCCCCTCCCCGCCCCCTCCCCAAACCTGTCAACAAACACATCAGCTTCCTGGAATTTTTCTTTCTTTCTTTCCATCATAGTATTTCTAGATCCAGGATGTTATTCAACCACCACATTTCCCCGTTTGCTACATGTGGTTCAAAGCCTTTCCTGGGAAGTGGAGCAAAGGGAAGTGGAAGCAGGTGGTGTGGGAGACTCTTTGTCCTGAGCTCATCTTTTATAACCTGCATCTTTGCTCTCAGGTCTCTGTGAGTAGTTGGGGAGCTGCTGCTGATTTTCTCTTGGCAGAGGCAGGCAGACTGCCACAGTGCTCCGTGAGGGTTGGGATTCGAGTTCTGCGCTGTGCTGACCAGAACTGGGCAGGAAGCAATCATATAAATTCCATGGTATTGTTCCCAAGTCCTGAAACTCTGCAGCTTCAGTGCTCAGAGGAGTCTTGACGCTCAGTACAGAGGATCAGCTGTAAATAGGGCCGGGGGATTAAGAAGACTTTAATATTTTTTCCTTCTGACTCATACAGACTTTGTCTGAGGCAGCATCATTCCTAGAGAAATGAGTTGACTTTCACATGGATTGGTGGGACAGAGAGCTGCAAAGGAGCATTATCTCATTGTTCATGTAACTAGGCTTATGCCTGTACTCCTGGAAACTGGAGAGTCACAGCAGGACAGCCCAGATTCCTATCTGGCTCATTTTAGTCTCTCGAGCCAAACATCTTGGCAAAGATGTTGGCAGAACATTAGCAGTCAGCCTTGGAACCAAGTCCCACATACAATAGATGGAGATGTCTTTTTCCAAAGTATGGGCAGTCATGTCCAAACCACACACCCTGAGGAGAGAATACAAAACCAGACCAGAAGTGTCCCCATTATCCTTGGGGGGAATCCCTGGGATGGGTGACAAGACCATGGGCTGTGGTGCAGGGTGCTGTAAGCTTGCCTCAATGCCTTGAAATTGTTTTATTGGTATTTTTATTGAAGCTGAAGATCCTCCATCTATAGGAGCTCCCAAGTAGGAGTCTGAAGTCAGCAGTTCTTGTTCAGCACCACCTAAACCACCTAAACTATGTTATGGATAACATAACAAAGTGATTAAAGGAGGAAGAGTCATAACAAGACAACTCCCTGAGGACACCCCTACATTGCAGCAATGTCCATCACTTCCAAGAAGATTGATGTCCAGAGGAGCTGCATCCCCATGGGCCAGACCTGGAGGTCACATCACCCTCTTTATCTTCTGGATGGGGAGAGCAGATTCATAATCAGCCTTTACTGCAGGGCAGCCAGAAGCTGCCCACTTGACGAGCTGCTGTGTGTCCGTGTGCCTGACCTGTGGCCCGGGGTGACACCATGGTGGCCCAGCACTGCAGCTGGGGACCCACCAGCTGCCCTGCCCCACTCCCTCACCAGCTCTCGTGGCCTGGGCTCCCTGCCTCAGCAAGAAGCGAGTACGTGCCGCCTCCCTCATCTCTTCCTTTTTCCACTTTTCCTGTGCAGCTCCCACCCACCTGACAGAGATGCCAGCGGGGCTGGCGGGCACCCTGCGCTGCCTGTTGGCTCTGCCAGAGGAGGCTGCAAGTGGCAGCGGGCGGGCTCTGCCTCCGGGCTGCCAGGCCAGATCAGGGGCTGGCTTCCTCATCCTCCTGCTCCTTGTTCCTTCAGCTCCAGCATCTCCACCGCCCCTATGTGTCCTCCTTGGTGAGGACAGAAGAGCTCTTGCAAAGCCAGTGGCTCAATTCCCTCTGACAGCTGTGTCTGACCGTGTGGAGAAGGAAGCACCTTGGGGGAGAAATGCAGAGAGCTCTCAGGGTGTCCCTGCAGTTTCCCTTCCCCTCAGCCAGACCGAATGACACCCTAAACACACCCTGGGCTGGATTTCAGGCAAGATGAGCAGGCCTGTGTCTCTCCCACAGTTATAAATAGCTGCTGTGGGCAGCTGCTGTGGGCCCCTGGCCTGTTCACAGCAGTGGTGGCCTGGGCAGAGCTTTCTGCTCAAGGAGCAGACAAATATTTCTGTCTGTGCTTTCTTGTTCCACAGGCTGGCTGGCCTCCACCTCTGGTGCACTTTGAACAGCAGGTGAATCATGTTTGGGTAAGGCCGTCACCAGCTCCTCCTTTCATAACGCACAGACGTCACGGCTTTTAAAGAGGTCAAGTTGTTACTGCTCGGAACATTTGTCACCCAGAAACCTGTCCTGGTGAATCTGCCAGAGCAAATTGAAGGTTTCCCTTCGCAACAAGCCTGGCACCATTCCACTGTGGGTTTTAGGAAGCTATTGCAGGAAGGTTTGGGGAGTAAGGAGCCTGCTCTGCTCTTCCGAAAGAGCAAATGCAGAATCCTAGAGAGGTTTGCAAGGGAGGGAAAGGTGCTGGGAAAGATGTGTATCCTTAGCATCATTTTCATTAAAACAACTCCCATTGATAAAGCTCTGCTATAACTTTTTAGCTGCTAATTAACATAGTAAGGAGTCTTAGTTTACAGATATTCAGAATGAAGGGATAAGTTGCAGAAGGATGCAGTGCAGGGAGGAGCAAGTCTGAGTGCTGTGCAGGAAGCAGGAGCAGGGATTTCACCTTCCAAAACAGCATTCATTTTTATGACTACAGTTCCATTTGAATTTTGCTTTTCTTTTTATTCAGCTCAAAGATAGAAGAGTGGTTTCATAGGAAACCTCTGCCCAGCACTCTGCAGAGATTAGCAGATCATAAGCAGGACTGCAGGAATCAGCTTTTCAGGGAAAGTGAGGATTTTTAACTGTTCCCGTTTTTTAGTGGAATGAAAAAGCAGCTTGAAATTTTCCATGAAGAAGGTCACTTGGGAACAGAGGAAAGATTTCTTTTTGATCTCTACCTTAGAGAGCCTTGTTTCCCTAATAGGACACTTTAAATAATAAAGCCCCTAGATGCAAGATGAAAAGTCTCATCACAAAAGAAAGGCCCAGCCTTTCAGTTCTGAAATTTTTGGCATTTATAGAAAAATGCCTTAATTTGGGGGCATCTCTGCATGAAATGGTATAGGAAACAATTCTTCCTCCACATCTAAATTCTCTTGGCACCTCTTGTCACCCCAGACAGCCACATGATGTACAGGATCCCTGCAGGCACCCCCAGATGATGTGAGCAGGGGCAGCACAACCCCTCCTGCTCCCCCAGGACCAGCCAAAGTTATTATATAAATTTGTGTAAACAAGACTTGCTTAAGTAACTCCACTGCTGCCAGTTCCTCTTGCTGGTCTTCTTTTCCTACTCCGCCCCTCCAGAGCCTGGTGTGATGGACATTTGGCCCAGCTCTGTGCTCCATGCTCCTCTCCCAGCCAGCTGAGGACACAGCAGCTCCAAGGAACCCCTGGTTGAACCTTGCAGAGGCTTCAAGCAAAGGAGGTGGTTAAAACACGCTGGTGAAGTCAGAGCTCAGGCCCAGCAGCACTCGGGCAGCTGCTGGCTGGCACGTCTGAGGACAAACACTCATCTCAGCACTGAGGTCATGCTGGGGGACGTGTCCCTCAGGACAGCTACTGAACTGCTGTGACCTAAGGTCCTCAGCATCCCCAAAAGCCAGATGCTCCACCTGCCTTTTGTCTTCTCCACTAAGTGTTTTTAGAGCCATAATCCCCGTGGCTGACACAAATGTTTGTGCTCTATGCCCATTCTCGTCAGCTGGCTTGGAGGCAGGGTTGAGATGCAATGAGGAATTAGGGGCACCGGGGAACTTGAAATGATTTTCACCTCCACAGCTTTTTGGGCAAATTTGGCCAGTTCTATGAAGGTAGGACAAGGGTGCAGAGGGGGGAGAGCTAAGTGCAGGGCAAGGTGCTGAAGGCAGGATGGAGAAGCTCAGCTGCTGGAGGAGACAGCTGGAGGTTCACACAACCAGTCCCTGGGTGTGTTTGGCTCTTTGCCCTTGTGCCACAGGGATCTGGCTGCACAAGTTGTATTTGCAGAGAGCTTGGTGCAGTGGCCTGAAGCAGGGACTGTAAAACACGAGCAGCAAACAGGAAGATTTCACCTGGCTTGGTGCTCACCATCACCCAGCACTGCAGGGAGTGCTCAGCGCTGGCCCTGAGCACATGAAGGAGCTGAGATTTGGGGCAGTGTGAGGACATGGCTGTGGGGTCAGCTGCAGACAGACATTTGCAGGCTCCACACATTTTGGGAGCTGGAGCACAAGGCACAGAGGACAATTTCCAGGCTTTTAGATTAAATACCTGACAGATGGAAAGCAGAATCCCACTCCAGTGAGGTGCAGCACCTCTCAGCTCCAGCTGAGCATCTAGGGACAGGCTTCACCTCAGAGTCTGGCACACCATACTTGAAAGGTTTCCAATCTTTATCTTGGAAAGCAAAGGCAAGGCCTCTCCTTTTCATGTGCAAACACAGAATTGATTCTAATATATTCTCATCCTTTACTAGCATGGCCTGAGGGGACTGTAAAATTCTGCAACTCCATCTAACTGTTTGGAAGTAGTTTGTGTCTTGTGCAAGAGTCCTGTGTACTTGCACAGAGGGAAAAGTAAAATATGTAAAATAACCCCACACAGGATTATTTTACATTAATGCACCCAAGGGTTTATGAAGCAATAAGGCAGTTAAAATCAATCCTTTCCTGCTGAAGCCAAACCAGCTCACTGAAACCCAGTTTAGCTTTTGGGGTTGTTTGCTTTTCCCATCTTCGTGTTTTCCCTTTAATCTTTGTGCTGTATAATTAAGACAACATTCCTCAGCATCTCTCCTGCTGTTTGTTGTGCTTATACAAGAGCCGGCTGCATTTGTTCCACGGAAAGAACATCCAAAGCCACATTCTGTGGTTTCAAGTAAAATCCTCCGCGGTGTTGACTTTTAATCTTAAGTTTGCCTGAAATCTGCATTACTCAAGAAAATACTGATAAAAATAGACTTTTTAAGGAAAAGAAAACAAGGCAGCAACACAGCTGGGAGAGTTTATGCTCAAGTTTGCATTGAAGTTTTTTTTTGATGGTGAGACTTCTGCGCTTTTCCTAATACCACCAGCAGAAGCAGTGGGTCAGTGTGCTGGCCCTGTGTGCCCCTCTGAGGTCCCTTTTGCTGCCGGCTGGACCCTGCCAGCATCCAGGGCTCCCTTAGCTCTCCCTGTCCCTGGAGTGCTCCCTGTCCCTGATGCTCTCTCCTTGTCCCCGGTGCTTTCCCTGTCCCCAATGCTCTCCCTGTTCCCGATGCTCTCCCTGTCCCCGATGCTCTTTCCCCGTCCCTGATGCTCTCACTCTGTCCCTGTTGCTCTCACTCTGTCCCTGATGCTCTCACTCTGTCCCTGATGCTCTCCCTGTCCCCGATGCTCTCCCCCTGTCCCCGATGATCTTTCCCTGTCCCCGGAGCTCTCCCTGTCCCCGATGCTCTCACTCTGTCCCTGATGCTCTCCCTGTCCCCGATGCTCTTTCCCTGTCCCCGATGATCTCTCCCTGTCCCTGTTGCTCTCACCATGTCCCCGATGCTCTCCCTGTCCCCGATGCTGTCTCCCTGTCCCCGATGCTCTCCCCCTGTCCCGATGATCTCTCCTTGTCCCCGGAGCTCTCCCTGTCCCCGATGCTCTTTCCCCGTCCCTGATGCTCTCACTCTGTCCCTGATGCTCTCTCCCTGTCCCCGATGCTGTCTCCCTGTCCCCGATGCTCTCCCCCTGTCCCCGATGCTCTCCCCCTGTCCCGATGCTCTCCCTGTCCCCGATGCTCTCCCTGCCCACGGGGCGCTGCGGGAGCCTTATAAAACAGCCGAGCGGTTATGAAACCCACGGCCCCGCTGCCAGACGCCTCATTCCCGGTAGATGGCGGTGCCAGCTCATTTTTCCTAATCTTTCCCACTTATTTTTTTCCTGGCGCCGCGCCCGATGCCAGCCCTGGGCGGCTGCGGCGGGGCTGGGGATGAACAGGCGCGGCCCTGCGCTGGGGTCAGCGCTGCAAAGAAAGCGAGCTTTGTCGGGGGTTTTCCCCCTATAACTGATTTTCCTTTGTTTTCGATAAATTTGAGATCTGTTTTAACAGATCAGCACAGCTCCAGGTGTCTGTCCCTGCTGACGCTGCTCCATCCCACAACAAACAGCGTGGAGGGCACAGGGAGGATGTTGGTGATGCCAGATCTGGAGGGACTCTGCAGAGCCAGGCGGACAGAGACCCTGCATTTCTCTCCAGACAGTCTTGTACAAAACCTGCTCACCCAGGTCCCAGCTCCCCACCTATTATTGCCTTTTCTTGAGTGTTTCCTTTTGCGGAGGGACAGATAGCGCTGGGTAGGCAGTGTGACTGGGTGAATGAACAGCAGTTCTCTTTGGAGATCACAACATCTTTATTTGGCTAAGAGTGGCCCAGTTGCCCTCCAGCCCAAGCTGCTATTTCCATCTCCACCTCCTTGGCGTGCCCAGGGTGTGTGCTACTGCTCCAGCCCGGAAATACTAATCCTTGTCTTCCTTCTCATCATCCTTGGCAATGCCTTGGTCCTGGAACAGAAATAAAAGACACAGCATGTGAGGGGAGTGCTGAGTGTCCCATCCCAGGTATTTGGTAGCATCCATGCTAGGGTTTGTAGTGCAAACCCCACAGGGGTGGGGTGCAAGGGGGAGCCAGGCCCCAGCACAGAGCTGGGGTGAGGTTACCTCCTCCAAGTCACTGTCAGAGCTGCTGCTGCTTCTGTCCTCTTCCCCATCGCCCTGCTGGGGTGAAGAGAGAGGGACAAGCATCACTGGAAGCCCTGGGAACCCTGGCAGTTCAGAGTCAGGAGGCAGAAAGGCTCCTGGTCCTGTGGGTATCTAGAGCCAGGCGTGGCACCACTGGTGCTGCAGTGGAGCCACATGTGACCACGGCACCACAGAGGTCTCCAGAGCCAAGGGCGAGGATTGCACGGTGTGTGCAGTGCAGGCAGCATCACTGCCACACCAGCATCCCATCTGGAGAGAAAAAGGAGGGAGATCTAACTAGGAATGTTGGGAGCAAAGAGACAGCTGTCTCTTCGTGGAAAAGCCGTGGACACTGTGATTTCTAGGCTGTGAGCAGCATAGCTCCATCTACTACAGGTGTGGGTTTGCCATGAGTCAGATGTGGCCTCCCTTTACAGCCAGAATATAAATGGTTCTGCAGAAAACTTCATCATTCCCCTACCTTTTCTTCTTCCTTCTTCCTCCTCTTCTGCTTCTCCTTCTCCTTTTCTCCCTCAGTCTTTTCCTTCTCCTTTTCTTCCTTCTCTTTTTTGTCCTCCTCTCTCTCCTTATCTTCCCGTCCAAACCCTGCAGCAGGGCACAGAGGAAGGTTCATTGCCAGCGTGGAGCATCCAGCACACACAAACATTGCAGGTGCCCTGGGCCCACACCAAACACTCACATTTCAGGATTGTCGACATGTCACTAAAGCCAAAGAGCTCTGGGGCACGAGACAGTCACACCTATGGAACAGAGAGGACCTGAAGGAGCAACAAGAGAGTGCAGGAAGATGAGTTTTTCAGGGATGAAAACGCCTCCCTGTGTAATTCTTACCCCCCAAAACAGCAGGGACAATCTGTGGATGACACAAAAACCAGAAAGACCAGACTTTGTGCCCACCCAGGCAGCCCCCTCTGCCCAGGACAGCAACAAGCAGAGAGGGATGGAAGCAGAGAAATTTCAGGGCAAATGTGCAGGGAGATGTCATAACCTCCCACCATGAACAGGTGCAAATTACAGAAGTATTTCAAATTAAATGAGGAAGCAACAATAAAGAGCAGGATCCTAAGAATCCCCAGTAGAAAGGACACCTTCCCTGAGGGACAGGGTGATGGCAGAGAGGGAGATGGTGATAACAGCAAGCAAAGAAGCCAAGAGCAAGGTTAAGAAAACTCCCGAGCATTGATTAGGTGCCTGAAAGGTGACAGATGAAAAGAAAGGAAAGGAAACAGCTTGCTTTAAAAATAGGAGGCCCAAACAAAGCCTAAGAAATAGCCTGGGCAGGTCAAACCCTCCCTCTCATACACAAACAGGGCAGCAGGGGTGAGGGGATCAGGTCCCTTCTGCTCACTGGGAAGAGCAGATCTGCCCCTGTGGCAGCAGGTAATTAGGAAATAGTTTCTCTTCCAGCAAGTGTTGGAGGGAGGCAGATTGTTAATGCTTCCTTTTAATGGTTTTTAGCCACAAAATGACATCATCTGGTTGGTGTTATTGGCCCTTCTGAAGGAGACAATTGCAGCCTCTGAGCCGATATTATCGATTTGTATTTTCTAGGAAGGTTTTTAAACCCCCAGGATGCTGCAAGGGAGCAGGAAGCAGTGGGTTTTGGGGTGGCACAGGAGGAGAGGGAGTTTGGATGGGAAGGAAAGGAGTGTGGGAAGTGATTGATAGAAGATGTAATCAGTGCAAAGTTAAAATCTAATTAATAATGAACAGCAATCTAATTCATCTCCGTAATTAAGAAGTGCAACTACTAATTGAAAATAATCACATTTTAATCTAAAATCGTTAAAAATAATCAAACATTAACAAAAGAAAAGGCAGCCCTGGGAAGGGATAGGAGAAGGTGCAGGTGATGCTCTGGCCCCAGGCCCTGCTCACCAAAGCTGCCCCATGGCTCCCATGGTGTGCCCAGCCCCGAATCCATGAGGATCCCCCTGCCTTGTGCTTTCACTGCCAGAGGGGAGCAGTTAGGGAAGGCTCAAGGTACAGATGGGTACAGATAGGGAAGGCACAGAGGTGGACATTGAGCTTTGCACAAGGAGATGGACAACCAGACCAAAGTCCAGCAGCCAGGGCTGGGAAGGGACAGCTCCACCCCAACCCTGCCAAGAAATGCCTCTATGGAGGTTAAACCCCTTTAATCCCCCCCTCCTGCACTGCTACATCTATCCCTGCTGATTTGCAAGAGATGGGGTGGGGTGGGCTCTGCCAAGCTCCTGTCTGGGGGTGCCACCCAGCACCCTGTGCAGCCCCTGCCGTGGTGCTGCCTCCTGATGGCTGCCAAGGCTCAGCTTTTGCCCTTCCATCCCAGCCCAGAGCAGCAGATCTGGTTTTGCCTGTTCCTCTGGAGCCTGGCATTTCACACAGGCAGGTTTGCCTGCCCCAGATGAGCTGGTTTCCTAAAGCCCAGGCAGACAAACCAGCAAAGCCCAAAGAGCACCTGACAGTCCCCACAAAGCAGCTGCAATTGTCCATAGCCAAGCTGGGCATGAGGTGCAGCTGGATCAGGGAGCAAACCTGTGAATTCACACCCTTCTAGTGTGACCTTACCCTCCCAAGCACAACAGGCTCACAGTGAGCCCACTCCCATCTCAGCCAGGGGACTGAAGTCATTCCCACAAAGCTCAGGCCCCCACTGCCATCCCCCAGACCACACAGAGCTGTCCCAGGGATGCTCCTGCTGCACCCTCATTCACCCTGCTCTCCTGCTCTGCTTTTCCAGCCCGTAAAACACACCGGTGAGTCTGTAAATTCCCTGCATGGCATGAGGGAGACAGGGAAGAGCCTTACCTGGAGCTGAAAAAGAAGTGATCTCCTCAATGGCTGGCTGGCAGCAACCAGGGCTCCAGGTATTTGAGTGTTGCGGTCTCCTCCCCAGTCCCACTTTTGGAGCAGAAAAACTGGCTCTGCCATCCGTCATGGACAGCACATGACACCGGAAACGTGACCAGTCCCACTGACACCCACAGGAGGCATTGCCTCCAGCACAGGCAGCAGCAGAAAGACCTTTTGCAAGCAAGTCAGGGCAGCTCTGGAGGCTGCAGACATCCATGGGAATCAGGCCTGGGACCAGGGAGAGCACTGAGGACGCAGTCTGGGAACGTGGTATGGTCAGGACCCTGCTGGAAGTACAGAAAAGGGGCTTTGGGAGATGTCTACTGTGGGTGGGAGGTGTTAGGCAGTTCCAGGAGGTCCAGGCAAGGCTGGACCAGGCAGAGCTCAGCACTCCCAGCTCCCTCCAAAGCTTGTCCTTGCTGCTGGCTTTCACTCCAACATATCATTAAGTACATACCTGTCAGCAGAGAGCAGTTACCAGCACATCTAAACACTTGCATAATGTGCCTTCCCTCTAATGCAATGCCCTCATTTCTAACAGCACCAGTAAGGGATAATAACCGTAACAATAGTGTCAGAAAGGGCTTGTGTACCCAGCTAATTTGTTTTCCATACCAAATAAAAGGAATTAGCTCTCCCATGCGATTTGTCCCATTTAATGCCTTCAACTCTACAACAAGGTTGCTCCCACAATCACCTGACTTTCCTTTTCAGTAATTGCAGGGCGTGTGGAGCCCCCTCGACAGAGTGAACCTAACTCGGGGTAACCCATGCAGGGAGCAAGCAGCTCTGCAGCAGTCACTTGTCCCAACAGCCTGGCTATCTCTGCCCCAGACCTGCTCCACCTCAGCCTGCACTGGCCCCAAACCCAGAGCAAGGCAGGTCTAGGTCAGAAATGAGGGACGGGTTTCAACGTCCAGGGCAGATAAACCCTGGAGCAGCTCAGCCAAGCTGGTAGCAGAGTCTCTGTTGCTGCCCAGTTTACAATCAGTAGCTCTGGTCTCTTACAGAGATGCTTCAGCTCACACATAAATCACTCAGGGAACTCCTGCTGCCAGCACTTGGTCTTGGGATAAATGCTGGCAGCAATCCCATCTGTGCCAGCATGGCACAGCTGCCAGGTCGGTGCAGCCAGGGAATTTGGTGGAGATGTACACATGGAGCACCCTGAAAACAGATCCAGGGTTTTGGGATCTGTTTGGTGTTGGGACCAGCACAGGCAGCCAACCCACACCTCTGAGCAGCTCCTGCCACCTTAGGAGGATTCTCCCCAAACTCAAACTTATTTTTAACTTATTTTAACTGCTCACTCCCTGCCAGCCCCAGCTGGGCTCTCAGTCTCTGATGCCTCCAGCATCCTCCAGTGAGAACAGCCCAGGGGACAGCCCTGCCATTGCTCTCTGGACACGGGGACACAAAATGTCACCCAGGGAACCAGGACCATCCTGAGCAGCAGGCCAGGCTGCAGCCACCAGCATCTCCCTGCTGCAGGACAGCCAGGGACACTTGTAGGTCCCAGCCCACAGACTGCACAGGCTCTGCTCTCACCCTGCAGCAGGCACAAAGCTGGTCTGGAAGGAGGGAAAGCGGCCTGCTAGGCAGCACCCAAAGCACCAGTGCATGGTAGCCTCAAGCTGTTGTCACAGGAGACTCCCAAAAAACATGGACTAGCACAGTACAGGCCACTTTTGTCCTGTTTCTGTGCCAAGGAGCCTTTGAGTACAGAACACCCATCTCTGCTTAGGTCACATCCTCACAGACCACTCTTTATTTTGGATTCTATGAACACACCCTAGAAGGAAATGCCAGAGCCCTCCTCCTCCTGCCATGAGCTCCCCTGTTCCTGCCTCTGAGTCAGACCCTTTAATTTGTCCTGTGGGTGACATGGGGCAGGTGTCCCTTTAGTCAGGGCCACCAGTGGCAGCACAGCTGCTGCTTCTTCCACACCAGGGCAATTGCCAGGGGCTCTGCTGCTACTGACCAGTATTTTAATAACAGAAATGGAGTTCCTGGGAAGGTGCTTGGCAAGGCCTGGGAGCACATCCCAAAGCCCATTGGGAAGCCCAAGCCTTTCTTAGGTTTTGAACCTTTCCACAGCAGCTGCCAGGAAGCAGCTTTTACAGCTGCAACTAAATCACTCCAAAGGAAAGAAAACAATTGTGGAAGGCTTTTTTTTTTTTTTTTTTTTCCCTCCAAGTCACTGCCATGCAGCATCTTAGCTGACTCTTATCTATTCTCAGCCACCTCTCACCTCCCCAAACACTACCAGAAGTGTTCAAATTACTGTCAGCTCTCATTAGATTCACATGGAAGGCAAGGCCAAGCAGGAAGACCTCCAGACAGCTGGATGCTGAATTCTGATGAATCCTTTGGGTAGAAAGATTTCAGCAACTATGGAACTGTTTTTGTTGTCCATCTATTGCAGTCCTCACACTGGCACAAAAATGAAGCTGGTGCACGTTTGATTATTGGCTGCTGTAACAAAATCCATGTGGGCACATGACTGAAGGAATTACTGTCTGCATCTTAAAAAAAAATCACCTCATTTCTTTTAATTATTAAACTACTCTACACTAAAGCACTGCAGGTCAGTAGAATTTATCTGCAAAAAAAGCAGCTGCTGCTTCATAAAACTCTATTACCTTTATTTCTTCTC